GAGCCCACGCGGCTGCTCTTGAAAACTGTGCCACCGTCCTGGGCATGGGCGTGGCTGCGCGCGGCTGCAGGAGGATTGATGACAACTCATCGGATTCTGAGTGAGCGTGGACAAAGCATGTGTATACCAGGCTGCCATGGCTGCCCCGATCGACAACTCCATTATGCGACCTGCCCTCGCCTCGCTTCTGTGATCTCTCTTGTCCTTCAGAATCGTGTTTTGGCCTCGGACCCACTCGCGCGCTGGGGGATTACGCACTGCGCCATCCAGGTTTTAGAAGAACTATATATAGCTGTACATGTATATCACACTTTACGTCTGCTCCCTCCTGCGCTCAGCCAGGCCCCGCAAGCCCGCATATCCGCGGCCAAGGCAGCGCTCCGATATCTAAGGCTAACACGCCCAGATCGTGGAGGTGGAGGTGCGTAGGGACGGGACGTCGTCGTCGTCGTCGTACGCTTCGCTCCTCCTCCTGCTCCTCCTCCTCCTGCTCCTCCTGCTTCTGCTTCTCATCTTCCTCCTCCTCCTCCTCGTCTCTGATGTTTCACGCCCTCCTCCATTCTTGCCCTCTGCCTCCCGCTCCCTCTTCCTCGCTCCCTTCCTCCACCTCCCACCCCCCTCCCTCCCTCCCTTCATTCCTCCACATTTCGCGACCCTCCTCCTACCCCCCCGGCAGTGAGTGATCCTGCCTCCTTTCCCCTCCTCGCTGCTTCGGCCGAGGAGTGATCGTGGGCGAGGGAGGAATCCCGAGGGAAGGTACTGCCAAGGGTGTCCTTCTAACAGACTTGCAATCCTGGCGTCGGCTTGTCCAGCTGTGCCTTTGGTGGAGTGTCAAGCGCGCGCGGAACGCGCCCGGGGGATTTAGTCGTGGTGTACCTTGCGGACCGTGCCCGAAGATCATCTTGTCTCCGGGCATGGGGCCATATAGTAGGCGCTGAAAGGCAGACCAGGCCAGCGTCTCGTACACATGAGGGGTTCGAAGTGAGGAGGATTGGCTATAGCTTAGTGTGTCTTGGAAACGCCCTGGGCGTTTCTTTATAGTTTCCATATTTTGTATTTTGTGAGCCAGCAGCGGGCACCTGGAAACGATAAAAAACGAACCCTGAAACTATCAAAACACGTTTCTGCGCGACTAGTTGGACACTTTGTGCCGATGATAATGAATACGGGGCGGGCGGCGCAGCGGGCATCAGTAGCAGCAGGCAGTAGCAGCAGGCAGTAGCAGCACCAGACAGCATAGGAGGAAGGTGGCGGCTGCAGCGGGCAGGAGGTGCAACAGAGAAGCTGTCTGGAGAGATTGTCGAGCCTTTGATCGTGCGTTACCTATCAGTCGCTGTCCAACCCACCGGGATGGGGAGTTGGAATCGGGTTGAAAACGTATTGGAACAGTATTGGAAAAAGGTCTCAACCAGGCAACTTCGACATTTGGACCAGGGGAAGCGGAAACATTGAGCATGTCGCCGCCGCCGCTAAGGCCGCCGTTGCGACGCCGACGCCGCCTTTGTGACATCGACGATGTTTCCGGCTCTGACGCGCACGGGATCGGACAGCGATTGACAGGCAACGCACGACAAGAGCTCAGAGAAGCCTTTCGGAGAGAGCGTGTCGATCTGTCATCGTGCGTTGCCAGTCAATGCCGGATACAACACAGCACGTTGCGAGGCAGACCTGGAAACGATGAAACAACGAAATTGGAAACTCGATCTTTTGGATGGACGTTGGAAACGATCAAAAAACGCATCACCGCGGAGACCTGGAAACGACAAAAAACGGGAACCAGAAACTAGTGAAACACGTGTTTTTGAATGAAACCAGGGAACAAAAAAAAACCCAAGGCGTTTCCAAGACACACTAAGGCTACAAGTATGAATGCGGGTTGTGGGACACTGGGGGAGGCTCCAGCTCGAGCGGGGACCCCCCGTCCGACAACACGCACGCATAGCCCCCTCCATTCCCCTATGGGTGTGGGTGTGTGTTTTTTGTTCGTTACATTAGGAGGCAGAGGGGGATACCATATTTCGAAAGATGAATCGAGTTGGAAGGCAGGACCAGTCAGGACGAAGTCCTGGTGGGTCCGACAGGTACCAGATCCCTTTTCAGGCCGCCACCTAGATTGTCTAGATTCGGCCTACCCCTGGGCCCCAGTCCGATCCACAGAGCTGGCTCCCAGCAGGGAGACAGGCGAGGCAGACTCGTAAGCCAGGAAAGGAAGCATCTTGGAATGCGCGCCCCGTTAGCGGAAAGTCGTCGTCGCCTTGTGGCCAAGCAGGATAATGATGTTGATGAGAATGATGATGTTGATGCTGCTGCTGATGATGCCCTTGATGCTGATGCTGATAGTGCTGATGCTGATGATGCAACTGCTGCTGATGATGATCCAACTGCTGCTGCTGCTGATGATGATGATGATGAGGCTGTCGATGAGTATGATGATGACGATGATGAGTGATGTTGATGAGGTTGACGTTGATGTTGGTATGAATGATGATGCTGGGAATCATGATGACGACGATTACGATGATGCTGGCGATGATGATGATGATGATGATGATGATGATGATGATGATGATGATGACATTGATGATGACGATGCTGATGACGATGATGCTGATACTGATGCTGATAATGATGCTGATTATGCTGTCGATGAAGATGATGATGATGATACTGTTGATGCGAGTCCGGATGGGGATGCGGATGCTGATGTGAATGATGATGATGATGATGATGTTGATGATGATGGTGATGACGATGATGATGATGCTGATGATGATGATGATGATGATGATGATGATGATGATGATGATGATGATGATGATGGTGAGGCTGGTGATGCTGCTGATGACGGTCATGATCAAGTTGCTGCTGATGATGATGATGATGCCGATCACGGTGCTGATGGTGACAACGACAATGAGTATGATGATGCATATTATGATTATGATTATGGTGGTGATGGTGGTGATGATGAGGCTGATCATGATGTCGCGGACGGTTGTGATGCTTATGATGATGGTGATGCTGAGGATGCTGATGAACATGATGTAACAGACAATCATGCTGCTGGTGATGATGCTGGTGATACTGCTGATACTGATGCTGAGTGTGAAGATGATTAGGGATCATGATCATGACGCTGCGTGACGATGGGTGTCCATGAGGCTGACGATGCTGATGACCATGACGAAGACTATGCTTTTGATGACGGCGATGATGTTGATGCTGATGTTGATGCTCATGCTGATGATGCTGATGGTGGTGGTGATGCTGATGATGATGATGATGCTGATGGTGATGATGATGCCGATGGCCATCACTATGCATGCCGATGGTGGTGATGGTGTTGACGACGACGACGGTGATGATGACGATGCATATGATGCTGCTGGAAATGAGGTTCATAATGACGATGCTGTCGATGTTGGTGGTGAAGATGGTGATGTGGACGCGCATGCGGATGGGGCTGGGGATGGGGATGGGGATGCGCATGCGGACGAGGCCGATAGCGTTGAGGATGATGGTGGTGATACTGATGATGACGATGGTGATGTTGATAATGATCTTGTTGATGCTGATGTTGCCCTGTGACAGCGAGGCTGATGATGCTGATGATTTTGATGATGGCAATGCGGATGTATCACAATCCTGATGATGAGTGATGATGGGTGCCTGCGATCAGGACGACGATGATGATCAGTATGACGACTATGATGTCGATGCTTTTGATGCTGATGTCGATGTTGATGATCATGACGAGGATGGTGATGATGCCGACGTTGACGTTGACGATGATGATGCTGATGATGATGACGAAATGATGATGATGGTGATGATAGTGGTGATTCTGATGAGGATGCTGGTTATGCCGATGATGGGAATGATGGTGGCGGTGGTGATGCCGATGATGATGTGGCTGCCGATGATTGTGGTGTTGATGGTTACGGTGATCATGATGCGACTGCGGACGGGGATGTGGATGGGGATGCGGGTGCGGACGCGGATTGTAATGTTGATGGTGACGATGCTGATGATGATGGTGGTGGTGATGTTGAAGAGGAAGAGGATGGTGGTGGCGATGCTGATGTTGATGACGATGGTCATGGTGATGGTGATGGTGATGATGCTGCTGCTGATGATGATGATCGTGGTGATGATTTGCATGATCATGATGTTGCTGATGCTGCTGCTGTTGATGTTGATGTTGCTGCTGATGTTGTTGTCGTTGTTGGTGATGACGATGATGCTGCCGACGACAATTCTGGTGATGCAGATGTCGGTGATGATGGTACCGTGAGAATCGATGTTGATGCTTATGATGCTTATGATGAAGACGATGATGCTGATGATGATGACGATAATGATGACGATGACGATGATGATGAGGACGATGGTGATGATGAGGATGATGCTGATATGGATTATGATGTTGATGATGCTGCTAGTGGTGATGAGGATTATGATCATCATGGTGGTGATGATGCTGATGCTGATGATGCTCATGACCATGATGAGTGAGGAATGATGTTGATGAGTGGGGGATTATGGTTGTGATGATGGTGATGCTGCTGATGCCGATTCTGATGCTGATGATTGTGATGCTGATTATGTTGGTGATGATGATGCTGACGATGCTCATGATGATGCTGATGATGAGGAGGAGGATGAGGAGGAGGATGAGGAGGAGGATGAATATTATGATGATGCTGATGCTGATACTGCTGCTGATGATGATGACGATGCTGATGCTGATGCTGATGCTGCTGCTGATGATGCTGATGATGATGATGATGCTGATGATGATGATGATGATGATGATGATGATGATGATGATGATGATGATGAGGATGAGGATGAGAAAGAGAAGCAAACAGGAGCAAACAGGGGCAGCAGGAGGAGCAGCAGCACCATCAGCACGAGGCAAGACGGGCTGCGGAGAGCAGGACGAGCAGGTCCGACAGCGGAGGGGATCCGTCGGGGCGCCGAGAGCACGCCCCTGGCAGGGCCCGCCGCCGCGGCGCAGAGAAGCGCTCCTCGCTCTGGGCCGCGCCTGCACGTGCTGCGGCGCCGAGGCGCGGCATCGCGTGCTGCTCCTCCTCCTCCTCCTCCTCCTCCTCCTCCTCCTCGTCCTCTTCCTCCTCCTCCTCCTGCTCCTCCTCCTCCTCATGCTCCTCCTCCTCCTCCTCCTCCTCCTCGTACTCCTCCCTCTGCCACGAGGCGCGCCGCGGTTGGTAAAATGTGCGTTCTAGAGGTGCCGGCGGATCTTTCCGAGCGTTCGCCAGAGATCCGAGTTAGACCCGAAAGCCAGGGGCAACAGTATTTTGGGTTTCTTAATAAGCGTGGGGTGGTCCCCCCCCGACGGGGGTCAACCTCGCCTTGTTGTCGCGCCGCGACGGGGGTCGGAGCGCCTTCGGCGCGCGGTGGCTACCCGCGACGGGGGTCGATGTGGGGCTGTCGGCGAAGGTGACGCCCCCCCCCCCGGCGCTTATCAAGAAACTCGGAGTAGGGGGGAGATAAGCTCAGCGAGGGATGCATCGACCCCCAGTCGCCCATGCAGCGCCGATGGGGCCTGACAGCCCACCCCGCCCAGGAGCGTGCCGTCCCTTGCCCTCCCTTTCTGGAGGACGGGAGTGGTTTCATGATCAGGGGTCCCCTGATGATGATGATGAGGAGGAGGAGGAGGAGGAGGAGGAGGAGGAGGAGGAGTTATCCCAGGGTGAGGGAAAAGGGCCAAGCCCAGCTGGATAGTCGCATCTCCTTCTTCCAGGGGCCGTTGAGAGCGATCTGTTCCTCTGACCCCACCTCTGCCCCTGCACAACCTCTGCACGCCCCCCTGGCAGGCGCGACAAAGACGTGCGTGTATATGAGTTCACGTGGGCTCCAGAGAGAGCGAGAGAGAGAGAGAGAGAGAGAGAGAAAAAAAAAAACAAGAGCGCATCAGGCGAGCGAGCGTGGCACGAGGATGGCCTCAAAAACAGGGACATATGCGTGTACGTGGCCTGGCGCGCACGTTCTTTTTGAGATCCCTATGTGGTTCGAGGGATGTCAATCGAAGAAGATACGAAGACGTGCATCAACGAACAGGTCCGCGCGGACTATCGAATCGGCGCTGGACCCCCTTCGCGCCAGGAAGGGGGGTCCAGCGCCGGTCCAAGATATCCGCACGCACCACCGCAAGTTTTGCTGACTTTTGTTTTCCTTCTTCCAGTCAGCTGACCAGACCGATCCTGGGCCCAGGATCGGCATGTGAGTGCCTCCCGCGTCAGGGCAGGACGGCGTGTGCACAGGTCACGGGCCCAGGGTGGCCGCGGCCAGGATGGATGTGGTGGTCGCTTTGCGTCCTTCGAAAAGGTGACGGAGATAAGAGAGCGTTTTTTTCCTAACCATCCCGTGGTGCTGGGTCCTCGTTTTGAAGACACGGCGCCCCGCGTCTCATTCCTTCCTCCTCCCCCTCCTCCTTGCTTCCATCCCTGCCTTCCTTCCTTCCCTCTTCCTCCCCCTCTTCCTTCCTCCTCCCATCCTGGCCTCTGCTCTTCGCATCAGTCTACCATTTCCGTACACACCTCACACTTTTCGTGGCTCCATAGGGAGCTCCACCGAAGCTCCCAGTGCTGCAGTTGTCATTTGGGCGTCACGCCCGTTTCGGCACAGCCCTCACACGTTTCGTGACCCCATATGGAGCTCCACCAAAGGTCCCAGCGCTGCAGTTCGCATGTGGGCGTCACGCCCGTTTCGGCAAATCTCTCACAGTTTTCGTGGCCCCATGGGGAGCTCAACCGAAGCTCCCAGTGCTGCAGTTGTCATTTGGGCGTCACGCCCATTTTGGCACTCTCCTCACACGTTTCGTGGCCCCGCAGGGAGCTCCAACGAACGTCCCAGTGGCGCAGTTCGCATGTGGGCGTCACGCCCGTTTCGGCACACCCCTCAGACGTTTCGTGGCCCCATAGGGAACTCCACCGACGGTCCCAGTGGCGCAGTTCGCATGTGGGCGTCACGCCCGTTTCGGCACACCCCTCAGACGTTTCGTGGCCCCATAGGGAACTCCACCGACGGTCCCAGTGGCGCAGTTCGCATGTGGGCGTCACGCCCGTTTCGGCACACCCCTCAGACGTTTCGTGGCCCCATAGGGAACTCCACCGACGGTCCCAGTGGCGCAGTTCGCATGTGGGCGTCACGCCCGTTTCGGCACACCCCTCAGACGTTTCGTGGCCCCACGCAGTTCGCATGTGGGCGTCACGCCGTTTCGGCACACCCCTCATACATTTCGTGGCCCCATAGGGTGCTCCACCGAAGATCCTAGTGGGAGGGTTCACATGCGCCCCTCCCCTCTTGCCAAACTGGCACGCCCCTCCCGCGTTTTGTGGCCCCGTAGGGAGTTCCACCGAAGATGATTCTCACAACTGCGGCACTCACAACTGCATATGGTTGGGTCCTTCTCCATGCTAATTATTCCCGGGCGATAGCGGGCGTTACTGGCGGGGGGGAGGGGGAGGAGGGCGGGGGGCCGGTAGCGTCACGTTTCGCGTTGGCGCCGATTGCGAATGTCTAGGAGTAGCTAGTCAAAACAGCTAGGAACGGCCGCTATCGCAACAAAGTAGATCTTGGCCCCAAACAGTGTGTTTCTAGCAATGTATGTGGTGCTACCTCTGCGGAGCAACATAGGTGGTGCAATCTATGGGGAGCAGTTCACTTGCCGAACTTGAAGTTGTCAACTCCACTGCTCGCGCAAGTATACCACCGACCCACCAGCAACTTGGTTGGCAAAACCCATGCGGGAGCGATTGCGATGAGTGCTGGGTGTTGGCTGGTGCATCCCTGCGGCCGCGCTAGCCCGCCTGTGCTCGCGCGCGCAGCGGCGATAACGACGACGGAAACGACAACGACGCCAAAGAGGACGACGACGACGACAACGACGAGGGATGAGGGAAGACGACGACGACGACAACCATGACGACGACGACGACGGCGACGAAATAGGAGGGACGACGACGAGACGCCGACGACGGACGACGACGACCACGAGGGAGGAGGAGGAATGACGACCACGGCGACAACGACGACGGAAACGACCACGACGCCAAAGAGGACGACGACGACGAACACGAGGAAAGACAGAGGACGACGTAGGCGACGACGACGACGACGCGGGAGGAGGGAGGGCGGCGACGACGACGACGCAAGAGCGTGCGCGCACGCTTTTGTTGAAAATCCGTGTTGCGAAACCTTGTGTCTTTGTAGGTTTTCTGGACACACGATTTTGAAGTCCTTCCGAAACCGATGGGTTTTGAAGGATTTCGGCATACTCGCGCGACGACGCGCGCGTCTGCACTTCGCCCATTTGTTGCAGAGGATTCTCGCGACGGCACACGCGCAAGGGCGTTCGACAGATTTCGACATGCGCGCGCGCGAAGCCCGTTTGGTAGCATTTTGTGAAAATCTTGAACAACCTATGGTTCTCTTAAGATTTCGCAAGAGCTCGCGCGTAAGCTTTTTTAGCACATCAGTGTTGCCGAGCCCTGTGTTTTTGTATGTTTTTGGAATCTCGATTGCGAAATCCTTCCGGCACCGAAGGTTTTTGAAGGATTTCGGCATGCGCGCGCGAGACGCGCGCGTGTGCACTTCGCCCCGTTTTTTGCGAGGGGCTCGCGAAACATATTATGTTAGAACAAAAGATGTTCCTGCGTATCGTGTTCTACAAGGGAACGTCAGGGGAACCGATACCGGTTCCCCGGGGATCGTGTAAACTCATATTTTGGATGGACATGTGGTCATAATCATATATGGTTTTCGTACCCGCAAGGGGGGCGGATGACGCCGGGGGGGGGGTAGAGTCTATTCTCTTTTTAGACAGGAGAATCTATGTTGTGCAATCTGTGTGATGCAAGTTCTGTTCTGCAAATCGATGCGGTGCAATCTTCTCTGTGCAATACATGTTGTGCAATGCATAGGTGGTGCAATATATGTTGTTCAATCTAGTTATTCAGAGGAGGATTTACCTCCCTCGCTTTCGCTTGCAAGAACAACCAAGTCCTACCGCGCACTTCTAGTTTGGCAGCGCGCGCGTCAGCCCTTTCCGCCGCGTCGCACTGCCAAGCCACGAAATTCCGAGATACCGTCTTAAACGGCGTGTGGCACCGTGCCGGGAAAGTTGGGTGCCATCCAGGAGAACTTGAGTCGTGCAGGAGTATGTTGAAACTGTTTGGGGGACGTGCCGGGAAATTGTGGTTTTGTACCAGGCGCGTTCGGTATTTTGGGGGATGGGGCCTTCTGGGGGTGTCTTGGGGCGGAAAGCTCGCATTGTCGGTTCGGGCTCCCCCGCTTCGGCCTTTTTTTGGGCCGTCTTGGGGCTCTCTTTGGCCGTCTGGGGAAAGGATCATCTGTAAATTGCATTGTCCCAGTGTCGCGTTAACCCTGGGTGGTGGTGGTAGGGACGATACTTATTTCGAAAGGAGAGTGCACCTGGTGTGAGCTATGATCTGTGAACTATGCGGTGCACGATACGTGGTGCACTCTATGTGGTATGACCTACGATTACCTACGTGATGTAAGCTATCTGGTGCAATCGATGTGGTGTGAGCCATGTCGTGTACGCGCGAGGCGGCCACGAGGCGGCCGCGAGCGGCAACGTTGCGAAACCTCGCCAGACCCATCCAGCGCACGAGGCGGCCGCGAGGCGGCCATGTGGCGAAACCTCGCCTGGCGCACCCAGCGCACGAGGCGGCCACGATGCGGCCAATGAGCTATGCTTAGGCGTGGGGCTTGTCAAAGTTCCGTCGCTGAGCATGCTCGAAGACAGACAAGCTGAGAAGAGCGACGGGGGACCTCGGCCCCGTCTGGTGCAACCAGGCCCAGGGCCCCCAGCTTCAATGATCTGTTCGGTTTTTTGGCACGCAGCATCAGTTGAATCAAATCAGGTCGCAGTTGTCATCGTTGTGAGGGGTCGACCTCTCAGGCCCAGGAAGCGGCTCGGCGGAACTCTCCGTGTCTTCCCCTCACCATCTTGGACGGTATAGTCTGGGACCCCCTCCAGGGTGGCGGGTGCACGTGGGGGGGTGGATCGGCCCATAGCGCGGATCCCCTTCCATCCAAGCGCGGGGGCCGAATGGTCATCCATTGCTCCTGGATGCGTGGCTGAAGTGGAGTTCCGCGGTGCGGATTTTGCTTGTTGTTGTTTGTTGTCGGTATCTCACCCGCGACCCGCCCCGCGACTCGCGACCCGCCCCGCGATCCGCCCCGCGACCCGCCCAGCGACCCGCCCCGCGACCCACCCGGCGACCCACTCTGCGCCCACCCCCGCTTTCTTATACGCAATTGCGGGATGCTGCGTATCACGCTGGGCTGGGGATTTGGTTCTGTGCCTCCTGCGGGTATTCTACAGCTGAACAGATAGCTAAGTTGTCCCAGGAGTGTTATCCCAAGAGGCGTAGTCGCAAGGACTGCCTAATTTGTATCTCTCAGGATTTTGGCCCAAAACTTCCGCCAAGCTGAGCAAGCCACGCGGGCCGCTGCGGGTAAACCCGTTTAAGCTTGCTGTTTGGGGTCTCCCAGGTCTACTTCGATCTGATCGATTGTATTCGATGTCGATCTGGCTGGACCGATTCGATTCGATACCGATATTCTGACGATCCGACGCGACCCGATGCTTGCATGGTGCTGGTATGCATCCTGGCGCAGCCGATCTGATTCGATCCCGATCCCGTTCCGATGCAGCCTGACACGATGATTTGTTCTCGATTCGCTGTTGACTGATCCTGGTCCTCTTCCGCAATCCGCAGTCGCAATATGCCCCCTCCTCCTTTCTCCCTCCTCCCCCTCCTCCTCCTCCTCCTCCTCCTCCTCCTGCCTCCTCTTCCTCCCCTCCCCTCCCTCCCCCTCCTCCCTCCTCCTCCCCCTCCTCCTCAACCCCCTCTTCCTCCTCCTCCTCCCTCCTCCTCCTCCTCCTCCCTTCTCCTCCTCCCTCTTTCCTCCTCCCCTCCTCCCTTCTCCCCTCACTCCTCTCTCATCCCCCCTCCTCTTCCTCCTCCACTCCTCCTCTTCCTCCTCATCCTCCTCCTCCTCCTCCTCCTCCTCCTCCTCCTCCTCCTCCTCCTCCTCCTCCTCCCCCTCCTCTCCACCCTGGCGGCGGGATCGGCGATCGCCGAGAGGCGCTGAAGCCGACGCCCCGCGGCTCCGCCGAGCTCGCCGCGGGGGAGGCGCGGGCGGGGCACGTCGAGGAGGGCTCCGGCTCCGGGCGGCGCGGCGCTCACCTCTGCGGCCAGAGGAGGAGGAGGGATATGATGATGATGATGATGATGATGATGATGATGATGATGATGATGATGATGATGATGATGATGATGATGATGATGATGATGATGATGATGATGATGATGATGATGACGATGGCGATGATGATGATGATGATGATGATGATGAGATGATGATGATGATGATGATGATGATGATGATGATGATGATGATGCTGTGATGATGATGATGATGATGATGATGATGATGATGATGATGATGATGATGATGATGATGAGATGATGATGATGATGATGATGATGATGATGAGAATAGATGAAATGGATGAGGAGGATGGTGATGATGATGAGATTGATGATGGATGATGAGATGAGGATGAGGAGGATGAGGATGGGAGAGGATGAGGATGAGGATGAGAAGAGGATGAGGATGAGGATGAGGATGGGATGAGGATGAGGAGGAGGGAGGAGGAGGAGGAGGAGGAGGAGGAGGAGGAGGAGGGGAGGAGAAGGAGAATGAGGGATGGCTAGGATTGATGCGGAGGTGGGACATGGGGAGGAGCGGGGATGGGGAGACTGATGAGCAGGAGAAGGAGGAGGAGGAGAAGGAGGAGGAGGGATGGGTAGGATGGACGCGGAGGTGGGACGAGGAGAAATGGAGAGGAGCGGGGATAAGGAGACTGATGAGCAGGAGGAGGAGGAGGAGGCGGAGGAGGAGAAGGAGGGGAGGAGGAGGAGGAGGAGGAGGAGGAGGAGGAGGATATGAAGGAGGACGAGGAGAGGAGGAGGAGGACGAGGAGAGGAGGAGGAGGAAGAGGGTAGAATGGATGAGGAGGTGGGACGATAAGAAATTGGGAGGAGCGGGGATAGGGAGACTGGTGAGCAGGAGGAGGAGGATGAGGATGATGATGATGATGATGAGGAGGAGGAGGAGGAGGAGGAGGAGGAGGAAACCGAGTCTCTTCATCTTCTTGGACGGTGCACCGCTTTTCAGTGACATTTGGCGGCTTGAGTTGAATAAATGAAGAGGCGGAGGGATGAGTAGGATGAGGATGAGAGGAGGAGGAGGAGGAGGAGGAGGAGGAGGAGGGAAGAGGACATCCTCGTCGCCACCTTGTGCCGAGGTGCAGTGCGCCTCTGGCGTGGCTGCAGCCTTCTCCCGTCGTCTGGTCCTGCTGCCTGCTCTCGGTCTCTGTGTCGGCTCTTTGTCTCTGCCTCGCTCCTCCCCCTCTCTCTATACATTTATACGTGTATATATATATATATATATGTATAGGTGTATGTACATGCCGCATTTTGACGTCTAGATGTAACAACATGCGCGTATCTATATATATATAATATATATATATATATATATATATATATATAGAGTTTTTTTTTTTTTTTTTTTTTTTTTTTTTTTTTTTTTTTTTTTTTTTCTCTCTCTCTCTCTCTCCTCCTCATCGGTGGGAGTTTATCAATGGCCGTCACATATGTACGCCGTGCCGTTTTACAGCAAACAACGATGTCCAGTACCACATCAGACGCCTTGAACGATGCCCAGGATATAGTGCTGGCCTGGCCTCTCTTGCGCAATACCCTAGGGGACATCGCCTTTTTATATTTGAGTACCTGCTCAACTCGAGCACGGGCATCATGTGCTTCGATTGTGGCTCGTACTCCGAAACGGGTACAAGGGGCCTGCTGTTCCGCGAGTGTTTTCGAGCACCACAGTCAAACAACACCAGCACGCAGCTGGCTCGAGCGCAGGCGCTGGCCCACCCGAGGATCGGTCCTCGAGCCTGCCAGGTGTTTCGCCCGCCAGTGCCTCTCGAACAGTTTTACCGCCAAGCGTTGGCGGCCGCCACAGCTCCCAGCACATCGCCCGAGGAGTACAGACCCCAAGAGGTTCGTGCGGATTCAGACTCGGCAGGTTACTGCTGTCTCGGCGCGGGTGCGCCGTGAACTCGAATTCTTCAAGCCGTGCGATGGTCCTCCTCCTCCTCCTCCTCCTCCTCCTCCGCCTCCGCCCTCTCTCCCGCGCCGGCCCCAGCTCCCTCCTCCAGCCGCGCGGTGCCGAGGGGGCCGGCGGCCAGAGGAGTGGGAGGGCGCAAGTCCGGAGGCCGGCGGCAGGCTCGGGCAGGGGTGCTCGGCATAGCTCGGACGTGTGCATTTTTTTCGGCGAGGACCGTCGAGGAGCATGTTGGACCATCTTGCCACAAAAATACGCGTGAAGCCGACACGTGCACGGGGAATGGACGTCCGAGCGATGGCGAGGGGGGGGGGAGCAGGCGCAGAGGCGGGCCCTGGGAGGCTCTAAGGGCACTTGGAACCCTCTTGGGGCTGTCTCGGGGCTGTCTTGGAGGCTTGTCGGAGGCTATTTTGAGCGATATTGAGGTATCTTGAGCCATCTTGGTGGCCTTCTTCGGCTGTCTTAGGGCCTCTTGGAGCCAGTTGGGGCCATCTCAGGCGCTCTGACAGGGGGTAGGGGGAGAGGTCAAGCTACCCACCGCCCGCAAGCCGTCGAGCTCAATTCCACCCGCCCTCCCAACACACAAGTAACACCCGAGCCTGAGCATGTTCAGCGGTCGTCTGTCTTTGGATGGACAGCTACTGGAAACTAAAACCGACCCCAGGTGCGCGACGCTGGGGCGAGGTGCGCAACGCGTGCCAGGGGCGCCACGCGCGCTAGGCACCCCTGGGGCCCGAGCGTGCCAGGCACGCCTGGTGCGCTAGATGCGACACGTCATCCGAGTGCGCCATGTGTACCGCACACTCCAGCTGCGCCAGGTGGACCGCGTTCGGGGCACGTGCAGAGTGCGTCAGGTACGCCTGCGCACGTGACAGCACACACCGGGAAACATGTCGGCCCCCGCCATCCTTGTCGAACACCGATGCCCATCATTGTGTCTGGTGGGCTTGCACACAGCTGGCCATGCGCCACTACCCCCGCCGTCCCTGTCAAAACCACTTGACAGTGATCGCGGGATGGCCGCGTTAGCCGCGAGGTACATTTTTTTGTCGGGGATGGTAGCTTTGCGCACAGCAGGGAACGTGCTGACACCCCCGCCGTCCTTTCCAAAAATTAGCCTGGCGAAGAACCCAACCATATGCAGTTGTCAGTACCGCAGCTGCGGGTTTCATCTTCAATGGAACTCCCCATAGGATTACGGAACGTGTGAGGGGTGTGCCGAGATGGGTGCCACTGGGGCATTCGGCGAAGCTCCCTATGGGGACATGAAACACGCGCGGGGCGTGCCGACATGGGTGGCGGAAACGCATGTGCGGGCCGCCACTGGGGCCTCCAGTGGAGCTCCCTATGGGTCCCCGAAACATGATGCTGCTGCGGGGGGGGGCCGGATGGGTGGCGGAGACGCATGTAAGCGCCGCTACTGGGGCCTTCGGTGGAGCTCCCTATGGGGCCACGAAGCGCGTGAGGGGTGTACTGGGATGTGTGGCGGGGACGCATGTGAGCGCCGCCACTGGGGCCTTCGGTGCAGCTCCTATGGGGCCACGAAACGTGTGAGGGGTGTGCCGAATTGGGTGCGGGTGGTGACGCATGCGGGCGGTGCCACTGGGGCCTTCGGTGGAGCTCCCTATGGGGCCACGAAACCTGTTGTTGTGAGGGGCGTGCCGGGATGGGTGGCGGGGACGCATGTGAGCGCGGCCGCTGGGGCCTTCGGTGGAGCTCCCTATGGGGCCACGAAACGTGTGAGGGGTGTGCCGAATTGGGTGGGTGGGTGACGCATGTGAGCGCCGCCACTGGGGCCTCCGGTGGATGATGGGGCCACGAAACCTGTCAGGGATGTGCCGAAATGGGTGTGCGGGACGCATGCGCATGTGAGCGCCGCCACTGGGGCCTTCGGTGGAGCTCCCTATGGGGCCACGAAACGTGTGAGGGGTGTGCCGAAATCTGTGCGGTGGGCGCATGGGAGCGAAGCCACTGGGGCCTTCGCTGGAGCTCCCTATGGGGCCACGAAACGTGTGAGGGGTGTGCCGAAATGGGTGCGGTGGGCGCATGGGAGCGCAGCCACTGGGGCCTTCGCTGGAGCTCCCCATGGGACCACGAAACGTGTGATGGGTGTGCCGAAATGGGTGCGGTGGGCGCATGGGAGCGCAGCCACTGGGGCCTTCGCTGGAGCTCCCTATGGGGCCACGAAACGTGTGAGGGGTGTGCCGAAATGGGTGCGGTGGGCGCATGGGAGCGCAGCCACTGGGGCCTTCGCTGGAGCTCCCTATGGGGCCACGAAACGTGTGAGGGGTGTGCCGAAATCTGTGCGGTGGGCGCATGGGAGCGCAGCCACTGGGGCCTTCGCTGGAGCTCCCTATGGGGCCACGAAACGTATGAGGGGTGTGCCGAAATGGGTGGCCACTGGGGCCTTCGCTGGAGCTCCCCTATGGGGCCACGAACGTGTGAGGGGTGTGCCGAAAATGGGTGCGGTGGGCGCATGGGAGCGCAGCCACTGGGGCCTTCGGTGGAGCTCCCTATGGGGCCACGAAACGTGTGAGGGGTGTGCCGAAGTGGGTGTGGCTGACGCATGCGGGCGGTGGCACTGAGGCCTTCGGTGGAGATCCCTATGGGGCCGCGAAACGTGTGACGGGTGATGATGGCGATGATGATGATGGTGGTGATGATGACGTCGATGATGTCGATGATGATGATGATGATGATGATGGTGATACCGAAACGGTTGCACACGTTTCGTGGCCCCATGATGATGACGATGATGATGGTGATAATGACGATGATGATGATGCTGCTGATGATGATGATGATGATGATGATGATGATGATGATGATGGCAGGAGGGAGGGGGCAGCGGGAGGAGGAGTGAACGCGGGGCGCTGTCTCTTCAAAACGAGGACCCAACACCACAGGATGGTTGGGAACAATACAAAGTGCTCGAGGGCCTCACGAACATGACTCATAACTTTGCCCCAAAGTGTACTTTGCATTGTTTTTGTTGACAGGGATGGTGTGGGGGGGCGCATCGGGTTGGCCGCGCATGCTCCAAAGGTGGAGGTTTCGGCTTGGCCCCCGGTCGCCTGGGGGAGGGGGTGTATATTAATAAGGAACAGTGATAAACCTCTCCTCCGAGCAGGGGAAGCAGGGGTTGTGGCAGGGAGCTCCAGTAGACCACTCAGCCCAGAAGGATGGTGGAATTCTGCGACGCGGAAGTACCGATGGACACGGTAACGCCAGTGGACCCGACTGAATTCAACCTTGAACGATCGGGGCCGCGATCGATTCATAGTTGAACGATCGACGCGGTGTCACGAAGCTTTGCGCGCGCCTTCGCCGCACGAACCCGCCGTACGCAGTCCTCCGCCTCTTCCTCGACCTCGACCTCGTCTTCATCCTCCTTCCCCCCAGCCTCCAGGAGCTCGACCTGTATAGATCTCGCCGCCCCAGCAGAGCGGTTTCACACACACACGAGTGACTTTTTGCTGGAGTGACCTGGTGCGAGCCCAATGGGGCCTGCCGGTCGCCGAACGCGATGCGATAGCAGCGGCTTGCGCGCCTGGTGGTGTCCCCAAAGGGTCCCCCCAGTGGGCCGCGCGTTCAGCTTCGCTCCTGCCTGGGGGTCACTCCTGCGTGCAGCCGGGAGCAGCGGGGACGCGGGCCGTGGCCTCTGCCAGGCCTCCCGCGCTCCTGGGGGCGCCGCGCCCGGCGTGTGGCGAAAGCCGCTGGGCGCCGAGCCGGGCGGGGGGGGGGGGCAGAGCGGGCTGCCCGAGGGTGACCGCCACGGGAGGGGGCGGATGGCCAGGAGCGAAAGAAGGAGGTACTCGTAGACGAATCCACGTTGGTTTCGAGAGTACGCATGACGCGATCGTCTGTGTCACGCGGCTGGTCTCGCGGCCTGGGGGGGTCCGTGCTCATCTGAGTGGTTGGGCGCGTGCATCCTTTGTGGGCTCCCTAGGTTTGCCACCCCTGTGTCATTCTGACGAGCCAACCAACAGCGCTCGAGTAGGAGATCGGCTGCAGTGTATATTTGCCCCAGGCCAGAATTGGCATTTTCGCCTGGTCGCCTGGTCTACAAAGAGTATGTAGAATGTTCGTAACTCTACGGCCATTCTGTTTTTTGCAGATTCGGCGAACAAGTCAAAAGTGGTGCGAATCAATTCTGTAGTCGATCTCTTACTCGAAACACACACACCCGTTCCCATACTGGTATGTGTGTGTGTGTGTGTGTGTGTGGCGTTCGCTCGTCATGTCCAGGGGCGGGGCAAGGGCGACCAGGTCGCCCGCGAGGGCGCGAAGGCTTCCCTGGGTGGGGGTCGGGGGGCAGTGCGAGGCCGCGACCGCGCGGAGTTCATCGCGAAGCGTGGTCCGCCTCGCGCGATGCGCGAGGGTGGGTACGGAGAGTGGGTACGGTGCCCAACAGCAGTTCCTGTTCTTTTTGAGCAGGACTCGATGTCCGCACCGCCGTGGACGTTGTCCATTTGAGACCGCCTGCCCAGCAGCGGCCGCTGTCGATTTTGGACAACATCTGTTGTTGGGCATCGTTTTTTTTGTTGTTGGTTGTTTCTCCGCCCCCCCGTACCATTTCGGCGTCCAAGTGGGAGGAGGGATCCAGCCTTGCAGATGGGGCGTGCGTCCCCGAGAGGAGCACGTCATCGAGGTCTGGGAGCTCCAGCGACGGGCCACGCTGTTCTCGCAGACGTGGCAGGCGCCGTTCCTGCCGCACGACGGGGTGAAGAGGTGCAGGCCCGCGCGGGCCCGCGGCCCCGCTCGACAGAGACTGTGCGCACACTTGTGCCAGGGCCGCCAGCGCCCCCCCGGACCACTCCAGACATCAAGGGGGCCGCGATGATTGCGTGTGTTTGCGCGGCAGAGAAGAATTCAGAGACGGAAGAGGAGGAGGAGCAGGAGGAGGAGGAGGAGCAGGATGATGATGATGATGATGACGATGATGGTGATGATGATGTTGATGATGATTATGAAGAAGAAGATGATGAACATGAGGATGATGATGAGGACGATGATGATGATGACGATGATGCTGATAATGCTAATGATGACGATGATCATGATGTTGATGCTGATGATGATGCTGATGCTGATGATGGTGACGCTGCTGACGATGACGACGGTGATACTGATGCTGCTGATGATGATGCGGATGCTGATGATGATGATGCTGATGCTGATGCTGATGGTGATGATGCTGATTCTGATGATGATGGTGATGACGATGCTGATGAGGATGTGGATGAGGATGATGACGATGATGGTGATGCTGATGATGCTGCTGATGATGCTGATGATGAGGACGATGAGGCTGATGATGATGATGATGCTGATGATGATGATGCTGATCATGATGATCTGATTATGACGATGATGCTGCTGTTGCTGATGCTGGTGATGCTGCTGCTGCTGATGCTGATGCTGATGATGATGCTGATGGTGATGATGATGCTGGTGCTTCTGTTGCTGCTGATGCTGATGATGCCGATGCTGATGCTGATGCTGCTGCTGCTGATGATGCTGTTGATGTTGAGGAGGAGGGTTATGCGGATGAGGATGCTGCTGCTACTGACGCTGATGATGATGATGATGATGATGATGATGATGATGATGATGATGCTGATGGTGCTGATGCTGATGCCGATGCCGCTGCTGCTGATGATGATGATGCTGATGATGCCGCTGATGCTGCTGCTGATGATGATGATGATGTTGATGGTGGCGATGAGGCTGATGATGCTGCCGAGGATGACGATACTGATGCTGCTGATGATGATGCTGCCGATGATGATGATGATGACGATGATGCTGATGATGCGGATGATGATGTTGATGATGATGATGATGATGATGATGATGATGATGATGATGATGCTGCTGCTGCTGCTGCTGCTGCTGCTGATGATGATGATGATGATGATGATGATGATGATGATGATGATGATGATGATGATGATGATGATGATGATGATGAGGATGATGAGGATGATGAGGATGATGAGGATGATGATGATGATGGTGATGATGATGATGATGATGA